CAGGAGCTTATATCACTTCTGGTTGCAAACATTACATGCATACCTTCGATACATGGAGCCATGTAATGGTGACCTACATTCACCAAAAAAGGTAAGTCATCCGGAGCGAAGCCCCGGTAATATGATCATAACCAAATCGGGCTGATGTGAATGAAGCATACAAAGATCTATATCTCAAACACATCTCAGCAAGACCTAACTGCGTCTTTCTAGCCTTTTTTGTGCTAAATACGAGTTTTTTGTGTCAGTTCGCATAGAATTCAGGAGTAATAGTTGCTCAAAGCCAGCCACTGAAAGCGAAGAACCCGATAAAAAAATCTTGGCTGGGCTTCTAGTGCCCTAGTGGCGTAAATATAGTGAGTTTTTTTATAGACTAAGATAGAGCATGCTTTGTAAGAGTGCAAAAAGGGGTAGCTAGCTCACTTTAAGACGAAGTCAACCATGTTCGAAATGCCTTCTGTCCTCGCTGGCCAAATAATTGGAGTCCTCAAAATTCGCTTCAACTTTCTCCACAAAGTGTTTTGGCGTGCTGATGAAGATGTTACACGCTTTGGGTAGCGGGACACCTTACAGCAGCTAAATCGACAGCAAAACTGCTGATGTTTTCATTAAGTTTTTGCGGATACAAGTAACTTTGAAAATGAGCGTGATCAGTGGGAGGTCCCATTCGGGGCCATACAAATAACGATCTCACCCAATACAGCAAAGTGCTGCTATTCATTGTGCTACAATATTGGGTAGTAGAGCCTCCAAAATATGAGCGACAAGCAAGGACACGGATCCCCACGGCACCGAAGTGTGAAGCGGAAACTACCTGTCCGGGTAACTTACCGGACGGGCGATTGATACATACCGCCCCAGATGTGCTTGGTTGAGTGGGTTGTCAAATGAGCGCACAGTCACTACGCGGCTGCTAAGCTAGGCACACAGTCTCACAGTCCAGCAATACAACAGATAAGGCTCAAATTACTCGTCATTTTTCATCCGTGTTTTAGTTTCTGCTCTCGGACAAGAATACAGAGCCTTCCAGGCTATTCGAGCGGGAAATGTGGTGTTTATGAGTCCAGATTTTGTACCTGACATCAAAATTATCCTGGTTATGTTTGCGCTCCCGGTGGACTAGCCATGCTGAGCTTCTTCTTGTTAGTTAGATGTTCGTTGATACGTACCTCAGTGGTCGATGAGATTCCTTTAGATGTTTGAGAGGTTAATTCCTAATGTTCCTCACTTTATGGGCTCTGACGAAGGCGACTAGGCCGAAACTTTAGCCGAATAAATGCTATAATAATTTTGGTGTTGACTCAATCATAAAAGCAACAAACAGATTTCCGATGTTGTCTCGCGGGATGTTAACCGAGACAATGGCCCGTAGTAAAGCTCGGTCATGGGAGATGATCTCCCCTGAGACCTTCATGTGAGGTTCCGTCAGTAAAATGATGACCGCCCATTTCCCCATGCTATAGGGATGCAACGTCACCTGAGAGGTGAGCCTCAGGTGAAGTTCGGCAGGGAGATAATCTCCCTGCCAGGTCATGGGAGATGATATGAGCGATGATGTCCAGAAATAGTGTTCTAAAGAGGAAACGCAGAGAAAATCTTCGTAAGTTGCTCCTGAGTAACTTACAATACACCTCAAGACGCCAAATTATGCAGACGAGAGTGCGCCAAATTGCACATATTTGGGGGACCTGCGGAGGAAAAAAATCGATGATCAGCTATTCGCAGGCAAGAAAACGGAAATTCAAGTTTTAATCTTTTTCGCGGGATTTGCCTTATTTTTTTGAATGCTGCAGTGAATGAATATTTATTTGCTTGTCTCGTTGTCTTTCTGTTCAAAAATGTGTTTTTTTTTAAATGAAAATTCGCGCTAAAATACTGTGAAATTGTTCTCTCCATTTATTTGCTAGGCGAGTCTCTTGATAGCGGTCATCATCGTTTTTTTCAATAAGTGACCCCTACCGATGATTGCGCGCCGATGCAGCAAAAAGGATTCCGCTAAGCGATCTCGAGCCATGATCGCCTATGTTTCATCGCAATCCTTATCCATTTGGCCAGGCCCGTACAAAACTGCTGCTGTTTCTAGGCTTGAGAATTGTCATGTCAGCAGAACGATCAGCACCCAGATCGATAGCTCGCTGTATGCTGAACTGAGGTGCCGAGAGATCGACTCCGGTCCGCCTCAGGGGACATGCCCTGACGAGGTTTATTACGGGCCAGTATCTTTTTCAAGCTGTGCTTGTATCAGGCATTGTTTGACTGCGGTAATCCATTCGGAGATAAAGGGCAAGCACAAAGATAGGGCTTTTTCGCTTGCCTTTGTAGGTGTTTCTTTTCAAACGTCTGGGTCATAATACATTCATTCGAGTCTATGATTTCTACTGCCTCTAGATTTCTGCCTTTCATATACAGCGCTAATACGACGGCGCGTCTGACAGCGTCTGGCATGCGAATTTCGCCTGCGAGATGCATTGCATTTACGGAACCACTCGATGTACACTACATTGTCAACATTAGTCGTTGTTCAAGAACGGTAGAACCAACCGTAAAAATGGTCCCATAAACTTATGCAGATATTTACAGAATGCCACGGTCGACGAAGCAGAGATGATGCTGATAACGCGACTATCGGCGTACAAGAGGAGGACGAGAGGAGGAAGAAGAGAGAAGAAGTCCCAAATCCCGGCTGCGGAGCGGTACGCTCGTCCCCAGGTATCTCCCTTCATCAACCGCTGGTGTTATTCTATTAGTTTGTTACATAAGTGTTGTTACACTTAACTTCTAACGGCGATAAGTTATGCACCTCATATTCTTTACAGGGCTCCAGGATACCATTCGATAGAGCAAAGCAAGTTCTACAAAAGAGTCTGCAAAAGTTCGCACCAACTTCAACCCACTGTAACTTTGCATCGAAAATCGTCGTACTGAAAACTCAAAAACTGCGAAAAATTCATATCTTTGTTCAGAAAAATCCTACGAATCTCCAACGTGCTCATGAAAATTGCACACTATATCAGACACTCATGTGTATCGTTCCTGTATTTTTTCCTCAACTAGAAATCGGGAAAAGGAAAATTCTTTATTTTTTACAGAAACGAAGCTATGTTGTTTTTACTCATGTAGCTGTATACTATAAGCTCTTAGAAGTATAAGCGTAGATTTTCAGCTCTCCAGACGCCCTAGTTTTCGAAATACCTATTTAGCATTGAACACTTGAGTGAGAAACCAAATTTGGCATTTTCCGAAAACTAGGGCTCTAGAAAGCTAAAAATTTACGGTTATACTTCTAAGAGCTTATAGTATACAGCTACATGAGTAAAAACAAAATAGCTTCGTTTCTGTAAAAACTGAAAAATTTGCCTTTTCTCGATTTCTAGTTGAGGAAAAAATACAGGAACGATACACATGAGTGTCTGATATAGTGTGCAATTTTTATGAGCAAGTTGGAGATTCGTAGGATTTTTCTGAAAAAAGATATGAATTTTTCGCAATTTTTGAGCCTTCAGTGCGACTCATATTCCGGATGCAAGTTACGGTGGGTCGGAGCTGGGGCAAATTTTTGCATACTTTCTTGTAGAGCTTGCTTTGCTCTATCGAATGATACCCTGGAGCCCTATTAAAATTATGAAGTTCACGACTTATCGTCGTAAGAAATTAAAGTGTAACAAGACTTATGTAACAACCTAATATATTTGATGATCCACCTAATAAACTTTATTATTATGACCTTGTGCTGCAACCTAGTAATCATGATACTCTACATGGCCGGCTCTTACTGGTAGCAGCGAGTGGTACACACAGTGGTTCACAGCACCGCATTCTTAGATCTTTTCGTCAAACTAGGCCGTACTCCGGCAGATGCCAACCCAGCATTCGAGTCGGTCTCGAGAATGCAGATACACAAGAATCCAGAGGAAGGCGGAACTGATACCACCTTAATTGACATCGCCTATGGAGCACACGAACTAGGATGTAAGACGGCCGAGGAAGCGGAAGGCGACGAAGACAAACACTCATCGCCTCGATAACACTGCAGCCGCCGACTGCAGCTAACGCGCGATCAGCAGGGTGCCGTGGCCTAGACAACAGCAAATATCCAAGCGATCCAGGCCGCATTCGGAACAGGAAAGACGGTCGTCGGTGCAAGTGTGGCCATACGTCAAGCGCTCGCCGGGCAACGAGTCATCATCATCTCAACCAACACTGCCGTCACTCAGTTCGCCAACACCATTCTCGGGTTTGAGGAGGCGCAGCAGGTGAGAGTTACTCGCTTTATAGCAGAAGCCATTGCTTTCGACGCGGACGCCCCGACCTGTCGTGGACCTCCCTGAAATCTCAAAGGTAATAGGAGTGTTCCAACAACAGCTCACGGCGAGAGAGAAAGAAAGTGCCGCATTTTTACGGAAGGGCAAATTTGTTACGAAAGGTACAAGAGGGAACGACGCACCGACCTCACGGACTAAGGGCCGCATGCACTAACCTCCCCGCGGGGATGTTAGTGCATGCGGCCCTAAGAAAGAGAAGACATCATATTAGCGGAATAAGACATCTCCCGAAATTTACAAGACATGGTCGATGTTATGTTCCGCCGCATGGATGCCAAGATTGTGTGCATCACAACGACATCTTACTCAACACCACGAACAAAGACGGGCTTTTCAAGGGTTACCTTGGCAGGTTCAACCTTATCATATGCGACGAAGCTTCGCAAATTCCAGAATTCATGGCGATTACGGCGCGGATTCCTCAAGCACGGCACATCTACATTGGGGACATCCATCAATTGAACCCTACGCTCGCTGTTCGCGATTGTCCTACCCCGCCAGAATGGGAGCGCAAAGTATCATGAACGTTCTTCAGCAAGCAAAAGCCGTTCCATTGTGCAGCCTCGTCACCATCTTCCGAGCGCATTTAGCACTTATCAATTTTCCCAACACCTTGTGCTATGAAGGTTCGCTGGTAAGGGTGTAGCCGCAAAAGACAGACACCTACTATTAGATGTGATGGATTTCCCAAATCCCCAACTGCCGTTCATGTTTGTGCACGTCAACGGAACGTCGGTGCAGTCTGCCTCACATTCGCATTATAACGAAGGGGGGAAGAAAGATGATATGCGAGTTTCCGGTTACTACGCTATCCGAAGAGGAGTTGCGGCGAATAACCTCGTTATCATCACCTTTTACAAGGATCAGTACGAATGCTTGGAGGAATTCGTCACGAGGATCGATGCAAACCTCTCCACGGTAGACACCGTTAAGGGGAGACAAGAGGATGTCGTGATCGTGTTGACAACGAAGACGCACTTCAATCCGGAAGGAGCGGAGTTTCGGGGAGACCCACGACGGATGAACGTCGCTCTAACTAAATGCAGACACGGGCAATTCGTGCTGGGCCATCGAGAATCCCTCGAGCAATGCCGTTCTGGAAGACGGTTCTGGACTGGGCGAGAACCACAACGCGATCATACCATCGACAAGCTTGGGCCGCTACTTGCGGGCGTGAACACAGAAAGTGTGCACTTAGCTTGTTCATAGGAAATATTTTAAAAGTCCCTTCAGGACTTTTGGGCAAAATGGGGAGGTGTAAAGATGGTCCGTATACTTATGCAGATGTTTACAGAATGCCACTGTCGACGAAGCGGTATGATGCTGATAGCGCGCCGAGCGGCGTGCAAGAGGACGAGAGGAGGAGGAAGAGAGAAGAAGTTTCGAATCCCGGCTGCAAAGCGGTACGCTCATCCCCAGATATCCCCTTTCATCAACCGCCGCTGTTTATTCTATATCTGATGATCCACCTAATAAACTTTATTATTACCAGTGCGTCACCTCTGCTTCGCAGAGGCTCGCACTGGTCCTACTATCTATGTGCCTTACTCATTCTCGTAGAATTGTGGCACTGGAACTCACAGCGCTATGCCGACTACAACGAATAAAATGTAAACAACTACTCATTTAAAAAGCTTTTTCACGTAAAATCGGTGATTTCGCGTGGATGAAACTTTTCACAGGAAGACAAACGCAAATTTGAATAGGTTTTTGAATTTGTCATGGCTTGGTAGTCGCCATAAAGGCAATAGTAATCGTGAGCTACATCTCTGTGCGAAAATCTTCTGAAATGCTTGGCTAGAACCTTGGCAAATTGAACATATACGCAACCAATTCTTTTTGGCGCCGTTTTCGTAATGTAGTAAACTTTTGACCGCATTTTGGGCTAAAGTCCATCGTTTGCACATTTGCTAACCAAACACACCCACGACTTTGCAAAAAGTGGTGATACAGACCCAATTTTGCGAGACAGAAGCCAGGTGGATCCGTTTGGCGCGCAATTTCTGAGGGATCCACTCGACGAATCTACTCGTGCTTTTGCATTTTAGACTTTCATGAAGGGAGCATGCGCTATGCAAAATTTGGGTTTAGAACACTGGCTGGAACACGCTCTACGAATTTCGTAACAGACGGACACACAGACACACACAAAACACGTAAACAACCCTTAGCCCGTTATTATAAGGTCTTGATGACCTTGTGCTGCAACCTAGTAATCATGATACCCTACACGGCCGACTCTTACTCAACCGTCGCGTGGTTGGCTACCTCTCCTGTGAATAAGTTCGATTTAAATTCATCGGACTTTGTTGATGCGACTTTGCAGCAGTCGTTTGTACATATAATTACAAATGAGCAGGGCTCTGGATAGCACAGTTCTTCTATCTACTCGACATATAGATATCTAACACGGGTGTTAATCATTGGCCCATTGCCACAGTTCTCTAGTAGTTTGTGCATTATATTTCCCCAAGCATATTAAAATATTGCCAATCCAGCACTACTTGGTTAGTGTTGTGATGAGAGTATGAGGCCATATCCCAACGTGTTTTACACGTGACTGTAGCATCACTATTTGACCTAGATACCTAGAGCTTTTTAAGCAATGTTGCAAAGCGTATTCTACTTTCGTAGTCCCAACTCATTCCCACTGCGTGCGAAATGTCCTCAAGAAGAAGATATGCACTTTTCCTTGCTTCTTCCGACTGTCAATTGGCGGTAAGCAGAAACGTGAATAACAAAAAGAGCGCCAAGATGGGTTTCTGAACGTATCGCGGTTGCTTTTGCCGTTTTACTTTTTTTTGTTGACCCACCCTTCTACTGCCCTTCAATCAAATGGGATACAGAGCCTCAACATTATTGAGACTCTGTTCCTAGACTATCGCACTCATGGCTCCAATGAGGTTCCACTTGAGGAATGTTTGCTCGTAATCAGCATCAAACGACCCCTTTGGTAGATAGCGAGTTCGATACTCAAGCCTATATCATACTGTCGTAATACCGTGATAATTCCGCACGAGAAGAAACTATGACCCAGAATGACTGTCATTTTCGTTTAGCAATCAGTCAATCGTACCAAAATCGCGCCAAGGTACTGCACAGTATCTTAACGCAAACTAATTGCATTCAGGGGGTGTGAGTTTGAAGTGTACCAAAAGCTGTGCAACGTCTCCTTTCTTACCGTATTCTCGCTCATGCTTCATTTCTGCCGGATAGCAGAAAGTGGTTTTCTCCTTTGCAAAGCACATTCTTTATTTGTAAAACATAGTCTTTGTTCTCCGTTCATGACTTCCACAAGTTTCGCATGGAAATGATTAGTAGACGGAGCAGATAGCCAGCATGTTATCTTTCCACTATATCATGTGAAAGATTTCGCAATACAGACAGACACTTAGCAAGTTTTCCCTGCAAAGATATCAGCTGCGATGCATGTGAATGGAGGCTGTTATCAATGGAATACAGGCAATTAATGGTTTCCCTGTTATGTGCGGACTCACGTATGTTCCGCACAATATAAATGCATGAAAAGGCAGCCGCCATTTATCTTGTTTAGTGAATTAGTTCGCTGTTTGAATGCAGTGGATCGGCAATATCCAACAACTCAGTATTTTAACGCGTTAGGTTCCTTATCGCCCAAGTATGAAAACAGTGCAATCTTGGTTGCACAGCATGCTTTCCCTGCCTCTCAAACTTACACGCGCAGGCCAATCTTACACGCATCTGGACGAGTTGGCAATTTCCTGCTCACCATTGGGGGTAGGGGAACGAAAGCCGCCAGTCTGAGCCGCCTTTCGCGGCCAATTGGTCCCTTCGCAGTGTTGTTGCATGTCGTCCCAGGACCAGCAGTCCGTGGACGCGGCCCAAACTGGCGGCTTTCGTTCCCCTACCTCACCGTTGGAGGCTGCCCGCCGCAACGCTATAACCATTGGGTCCTGCAACGATTTAGCGTCATCGGCCTTGCTCCACTCGTCCAATTCCAAAGGGAAAGGTATTAAAAAACGCTTAGTTTCGCCGTTTTCAAGCTTTCAAAAGTAGATTTTCGGGATCAGCGTATCGAATAACCCCAATTAAGCGCAAATTTAACTAGGTTGAGAGTTGCCGAGCCACTGCCTTTGAACTGTCTACCATTCGCGGTAAACCGGCAATGGTGTTCTGTACCATCCCTCAAAACATGATACATTGATTGAATCTTACCAATACGCTTCTGACCTTGGTTAGGTGAACTTCACCGCGTAAGCTGCATACGCCGAGAACGTGTTCACAACGTCACGTAGCTGCACACGCTGCAAACGCTGCCAAGGTTCACACCGGCACAATGTTATGGCTTTTCGTAGGTTTGTCCCTACGCTCAGGTAGAAAAGTTGGGGAGATGGTCAAGAGGCGCGATTTCTTTGGCTGCTAGCAGCTCAAAACTTCAGTTTAGTGCTACGCCAGTCTTCAAAAAGTACCACATGAAGTGCACTGGGTTAACTATCTGCCTAACTAAGACAACAAACAGCTGAGTTTGATGGCTTTTTCTGGAAAACTGACCGAAATATTCAGAAATTAGTTTTTAACTGCATTTTTATGGGTTTTTGACCTTCAAAATTGCTTTTTTGAGTTGACAAGGTAGCAAGATTGAGGAACCCAGCAGCTATTTAATATATCTCCTTCAAGAATTCAAATACTTTTAGAATGTTATAAAACATTTATTATGTGCTATTTGGTGTCCACCTGGTAATAAAAACCTTGACATACACTCGAAAAGTTGCAGTATATTCGGGCGGTAGCAGCGCTAGGATTTTGCTCTGCATATGGTCACTGATGGGGAGAGCGAAGTGACTGAAGTAGAGAAGACAAGCAAGCGGTAGACATGACACAAAACCGCTGCAATGGAAGCGCATCACTCCAAGTTTGCCCTGATCCGAATTGGGGCAGACTAACATGCGTTGAAAAATTAATCTAGACGTGATTACAGTTACGAAGCGGAAGCGTTCATACCAATGCGCCACTCCAAATGTTGGTGTGCCCAGCGTGCCCACCGTACAGGGCTCCTCAATTACAGAGTCGCTTACACCCAGCTCCCGTCCCGCACGGCCGCATCGCCTAAACTCTGCGCCGCGTCTGCGATGCGTGACCCGGGCATTTTGCCAGGCCTCGGTCGATGACGCCGGAGCTGGCATTGTATTTTAGCCCCATGATAATTTTGCGTTGTCATCCCACGCCGAAAATCTGCGTCACAGTTCTTTTGTGCACCTAGCTGATGTTTTAGGGGTTTTTATCGTTCATTTCATCTCGCACCTTCGTTTCTTTCGCGCTGTGGTCCCTCATAAAGTTTTATCGTAGTTTTGTGAGGAAGAAATATGCCGAAATTTAGCGCAACAGTTTTCTTCCAGACCTATGGTATTTGTAGGGTTCTAGCTCCTGTTCTTCTCGCCATGCAAATGTAGGAGCTGTGTGTTTGTCTGCTATTAGGACCACAGCGCGAAAAACGAAGAAGTGAGATAAAATGAACGAGAAAATCCCACCTCTGCCAAGCCAAAATCCTAAAACATCAGCTAGATGCACAAAAGAACTGTGACGCAGATTGTCTGCATGGGATGATATCGCAAAATTATCATGAGGCTAGTCGAGGGCAAATTGAGTGAAAGAACGAAGAAAAGAGACGAAACGGCCGAGAAAATACAATGCGAGCCATCAGAGGCCTGGAGCACTTCGCTTTTTGCATTTTCTAAAAGCCACCTCGTACCCTGCCCTGGAACGTCGACAGGTGAGATTGAAAGCCGACGTCGATCAAGGGCGGAATGAGAATTAGCCGCCTTTTTTCGCAAAAATTCCTCCTTTTCGGAAACTTCATAAAATTTTCACTGAATGATAAAGAGGAAAAATAAAAGAGACGTAAACGCAAACAGAGGAAAGCATTTTTCACGCAATTTACTTCTAGTAAAATCGCCGTCACCTTGCGAGAACCCGAAGGCCAACACCACCCTAGACGCATCTACTCGCATTTCCTACATTTCGGAAAACAAAGCTTCTCGATAATCTAAGCTGTAACCCAACGGTCACCATCAGGGCCAACAATGCTGACCCAACGGCCCTCTTTGCGAGCACGAAGAAAAGAGCGGCATAAATATTCCGTTTGAAAGCAAATCGTAGAGAGGCTATACGGATTTCCTCACGTACATATAATATAACATATTGTGAAACAAGTTGGCCGATCCAGAAAGTAATGCCGAGAAATAGAATTTTGGAATTAAATTGCGAAAATATATGTAAATTTGCAACTGTTATAAATCTGGTGTATGGAGATATCAACAATTGCGAATTCGTAGTTTTGAAAGAAGCAGGTCGATCCGGGAGTTGGATCCGAGAACCAAAATATCAAAAAATACCCATCTTAAGCCGCTTAGTAACCGCTGACATTTCAACCCTACAATCTTGAGTGTGAAGGCTTGCGATGTTGCGACTTCATAGGTTTTGTAGAGAAGGTTGCCCTGTCAGATTATACCTTAGTCGTGCCGATCTACTGGAACATCGCCGAGGGCCAGATCCTTGAAAAAGCAGATGAAAATTCGATTTTTAAGCTTCAATAGTTCATAACTTCTTCAAAACTTTATGTATTCGGTGGCGGTTTTATAGATTCGAATCTCCTTTTCGAGAGCTCCCAGAAGAATATGGCGCGTTCAATGCATCCTACGACTTATGCCCGGGAGGGGGGGGAGACTTTTCACTAATTCTATCCTGGCGGCATTCAGCCAATGCATTGAAATGGGCGGAGGGGGGGGGGGGGAGAATTAGTGACGAAAAGTCTCCCACCCTCGCTCCGAGCATAAGGGTTGTTTCAGACTGCCGCATTGACCCAGCAGACTGCGGCAGACCGCCGCAAACTGCAGCTGACCGCACTGACCGCAACGGCCGCACAGATCGCTGCATCCTTTCGTAGAGGTGAAAATATAAATAGTTGTAGCCCAAACAATCAACAACAGTGTATGTCTAGACTCAAAAGAAAACATGAGCAAGAGTATTACAAAACAGTTATATGCAACAATAGGAGGAATCAGAACAAATATGAGCATACCAGCGCCCCCCCCCCGCCTCCGAGAATGGGTCGCGATAGTTACTTATATGGGTTATAAAAATGTGCAAGTGACTTATTTATACTTGTAAACAATGAAATAATTTTTAAAAATTTTTAAAAATTCAAATCAGCCTTGTAAAAAAATTTTTTCGGGGGCACGGCTGAAGCCACGCCCCCTTTTTCCAGATATTAGGGGTTGGGGACCCGCAAAATTTTGAGAAGCACCCCTAAAAATTTTGGCGCTATTCGGCTATCCGGGCCCCAAAATTTTTTGGTCATGGATTTCGCTCAAACTTGGTCCAGGGGGGTTACCTGACATGCTCACGAATATCACATTTTCTCCGCAGGAAACCGCCTTCCTGTGAAGTTACGGTAGGTAAACGGTAGGGGGTCAAAATCGTAGATTCAGCTGAAACTTGGCCCAGGGGGGTTATTCAGCCCGCTGACGCCGAATATCACATTGATTTTGTACCGTAGCGTCATTTTCTCGGGTTACGGTGGGTATTCGGTAGGGGTCAAAATCACAAATCGGCAAATGTATCTCCCCTTATGCTTTGCTTAGGCAAAAGCCGCAGCAGGGTGTGTTGCGCGCGGCGGTGTTTGTGTGTGCAAAGCTTCACAATCGTCGAATCGTCGTACACCCGCTTCAGGCAGAACTATGCTTTACACCCGTTACCGTGTAGCTACCGTAACCCGAGAAAATGACGCTATGGTTCAAAACCAATGTGATATTTGGCATCGGGCCAAATAACCCCTCTACGCCAAGTTTCGAGCAAGCCCGTGATTTTGACCCTCTACCGTAGTCCTACCGTAACTCCACCGGATGGCGCTGTCGCACGAGATAAACATCATATCCGTGTTCAGCGTGCCAAATAACCCCTCTAGACGAAGTTTCGGGCAAATCCGTGATTTTGACTCCCTACCGTATACCTACCGTAACCCTGCAGGGAGGCATTTTCTTGCGGAGAAAAGGTGATATTCGTGATCAGCATGTCAGATAACCCCTCTGGGTTAAGTTTGAGCGAAATCCATGACCAAAAAATTTTGGGGCCCGGATAGCCGAATAGCGCCAAAATTTTTCGGAGTGCGCGGCTAACGCCACGCACTTTCATTCGAAAAATTTTTTTGTCGCCCCCCCCCCCTCCCCCGAGCGGAAATCCTGGGTACGCCACTGGAGCATACCAAAAAAACAATCGCCAAAGTTTGATTAAGAAGAGTAATTTAGAACCTATGAACTTCCTAGGCGTAAATCATGGTGTTTTGGAGTAATCGCAGTTGTTTTCTCTTTTACGAAAAGATACAGCGGTATGTGCAGCCGTTGCGGTCAGCACGTTAGCTGCAGTCTGCTGGAGGACCGGTAACGGCAGAGTGGGCGATCGAATCCGCGCGGCGGCGGCAGCGCGGTTCGCGCTGGGACCCACGAGGATTACGGTACATCCCGCTCCGAGTGTCCGCGGAAGCACTGAATTTCTTTATTTCTCTTTCTATCTGTTTGTTTTCTCTCCTATACTCGGATGACCGCTACTTTGGATCGCCCACTCTTCCGTTACCGGTTCTCCGATCGTATTCGCCGCGCAGAACCGGATCACTTTCTCGGGAATACGCATTTTTTGAATAGTTCCGATAGCAGCCGGCTTCTCAGCCTGCGCATTCAAAATGGTTTTTCCCTTTAGATCACTTTGACATCATTTTGTTTTTTGTTGTTGATGCCATCTTCCCACCACTTCATTATAAACGTCTCCAATCATACAGACCTTCAAAGTAGTTCGTTTTCATCATCTGCATTCTATAACTTACAGATATAACACCGTCGATGCCCAGTACAAGGAAGATGCGAAAGACGGCTCGGGGAACGTGGTAACGAAGAGCCTGTTTCAAAACCTGGTGCAGAAATTAGCAAAAATCTGGGAAGGTACGAGTGACATGCTCGTAACTAAACTCTTATATAACTATCTTGATTTTGTGAAGATTTGCCGAGCGTCGTACCGATATCTTCGGTGTTGATGCTGCTGGAGCAGAACAAACGGTAATCGGAAAAAAATTGGGAGAGGAAGCTCCGCAGCCTGCAAAGGTTAGTACAATCTGGTTTCATTGGATTTTGATGCCTGTTAGAGAAATATGTGAGTTCTTCGACCATTTAGCATCAGGTTTTTATGGCACATTCTTGTAACCCCTTCTCTCAAGAGTTCTGTTTATTTTCCCGTGCGTGATTCAGTATTTGAATTTCCAGCAACTTATTTGGGATGGATCTGAAGAGACTCGTAAAGCACACTCTTGCCGTACAAAGCCAATTCACGATTGGTAAGTTTACTGGTTTTTTACTGGCTCTGTTAGTTTTTCGCAGTAAGTTGTACATAAAAAAACTTTTTCCGTTAGTTGATTGTATTTTGTTCAAAGCAAGTTTTGCATTCTTTTTTGGGTTTTTCTTTGGGACACATTTTAGATCAACAAATCTACGAAATTCATCGTCAACACGGCGTCCCACCCGATGCGTCGAAAGAACGCATCGGGACACAACAAGTTGCTCAGCACCAACGCACTGCCGCCACTGCAGCTGCTGTTGCAACTGCTCAGCGCATGACGGCATGTCCTTCTAGCGCTGCAGGGCTGATGCCATTACCAGCAGTTTTTGCCAGGGCGCAGACGGGCATACCAATGCGTGTACCTGGCAGTGGCATGCCCGTACAGGTGACCATGGCAGGTTATGGTGCCATGCCTCCCCCACCAACTTCAGATTTCATTGAATAAAACTGGTGTTGCTTATAGAATACTTGCTTTAGGAACCTGAGGCTCCTCCGCCAAAACGTTAAAGAACTGATGAGCTGGAGCCGGAGGCTGAATGGTTGAAGAAGGTAGAAAACGCTTATCATTTAGATTTTCGTCTACGGTGTGATTTTGCAAGTTAGTGGACTATGAATCATATTTTGCGCGTTTACTTTGTACTGATCACTTCATATCTCAGGTGAATGGTGCGATTGACTTGCGTATACAACTACCTGTAAGTGCAGAGTTTAACATGGATGGATCGATCATCGGATTACAGATCGATGTTTCCTTGCAGGTGAGTCTACTTCGGTTTCTTGAAATCGTTGGACTTATTTATTACAGTTGCTCTGTTGACAACTGCTAGTATTATATTTTACATTCATTGTGGAAATTTGCATCTAGAAATGCCTCAGAGCATCCTTATCAAAGTTTTTGCAGGTAACGGACCTCCAGCAGCAACTTCAGGATAAGCACAGCATGCCAACAAGATAGCTGAAGCTTACTTCGATGTGAATACACACATACTTCTTTGTTGTAAATTCTTAATTCGTTCATTGGATTTTTTGATCTGGTAAGACCAAATCGGTCGAATATCAAGGAGATCTAAGTTTGTTTCAATTAGTTTTACCATTTTAGGGTTTCTTTCTGAAAGACAACTTCTCTTTGGCCTTTTACAACATGAAGAAGCAATCGTTCGTTATTTTGCAGATTAAGGAAAGAGGAGGCAAAAACAAATGAATGTAAACTGTAGATTATGTGTTGTATGGTCGTGTATTTGTTTCGCGTACCGATTTTCTGCTTGGATAGTACCTTGTAGCAAGTTTGTATTGAACCACTTTTACGTAGATGTAAATTGATCTGAGACATCAATATGATTTAGTGGTAAAAAAAGGATTTTCAATAGATCCTTTGTTGTAGCATTTTATTCACAAAATCTACTACATTGACAAAAATACAGCAAAGAATTATCAAGCGATGGAGTCGCATGAAGCAATCAAATTCGACACGACCTTTCGCGGTTTGGGATTCTTATCTTCGGCGAACATCCATTACATCGTACACATTCACGATGCCGGTGGTTGATCTGAACTCATTTAAGTGCAAAGCGTAAAAAGTGCTAAAATAACTTACCCGCGAGCAACTTTACTATCATCACCACTTAGTCGTATCTTTGTCCCACGGGCAACCCTTATCATGGAATAAATGCTGGGACCCTTGCAGACTGGCAACTTCACTTCCTTCTGCAAATGCATACTTTTAGAAATTGTCTAATCTCAACCCAATACGACGCGCGTTTTCCAAGCGCGGATTTCCAAAGATTTGCTCCGTCATAAGAGCAACTTTTCTGATTGCTAGTGATGTCGGCAAGAAAGTCAAAGCTCTCAAAATTGCTTTTGATTGAAAAACCAGATCATCATGAAAGGTTTAGGAAATCATGAATATAAACAGAACAGTACCGTGGGCCAATGCTAGGCCACGCCGTCATTAATGGGTTGACTACACAACCTCATAAAGTTGAAGAGCTTGCGCAAGTGATGTGGTGAATTGAATGACGGAAGAGAGAACAAACCTTTCAAAGCTCATAGCTCACGATTAAAATCTGGCAAAAACTGCAACGACGTCACTTCCGCAGAGGCAAAGAGTGTTCTCACCAGTTCCACCGACTAACGAGAACATATATCGAACTCTGAATTGAGAGAAAAACAGTCAAGGAAAGTCACTGACAATCAAAAAACAAGTACTTGCGAGCTATGAGCAATCATAGCCACTAAAGAACGCTAATGTAGATTTATACAACTTTTTAAAGTTCTTGAAACAAAATCAAATAAACAAAGACATGTAGAATCACTTACATTATGCGGCTTCTTCACATCAACATCAACCATTGGAGTAGCAACGACGTAGAAAAACAACGGTAAACTTGGTCTAAAGTGTGTAAACTGGCACAATGAAAATCGGTTGCGTCAATGCTCCAACGACGACGTTAGACGTTACGGTCGCACATATACGGGGCCAATCGATGGTAAAATGCGTGCGTAACTGAATAGAAAAGAAGCAGACGTATTGGAATGGACTGAATAGTTGTTTACAAAGGACAAGAGTGAACGACGATGAAAACGAACTACTTTGAAAGTCTTATGATTGGAAATGTTTATAAGGAAGTGGTGGAAAGATGGCATCAACAACAAAAAACAAAATGATTTCAAAGTGATCTAAAGGGAAAAACCATTTTGAATGCGCAGGCTGAGAAGCCGGCTGCTATCGGAACTATTCAAAAAATGCGTATTCCCGAGAAAGTGATCCGGTTCTGCGCGGCGAATACGATCGGAGAACCGGTAACGGAAGAGTGGGCGATCCAAAGTAGCGGTCATCCGAGTATAGGAGAGAAAACAAACAGATAGAAAGAGAAATAAAGAAATTCAGTGCTTCCGCGGACACTCGGAGCGGGATGTACCGTAATCCTCGTGGGTCCCAGCGAACCGCGCTGCCGCCGCCGCGCGGATTCGATCGCCCACTCTGCCGTTACCGGTCCTCCAGTCTGCTGCGGACAGTGCGGCAGTATACAACCCTAAAACGTAGGCATCAAATACCCCATGTTATAGATCTTCTAAAAGTTTTTGAAGAGGAGATTGCAACCTGTAAAGTCGCAACCGAATTTATACAGTTTGTTGAAGTTATGACCTCTTAAAGCAGGAAAACCGATTTTTCACCTGCTTTTCAAGGACCTGGCTTTCGGCGATGTTACAGTAGTTTGGCACGACTAAGGTATTATCTGATAGGCAAACTTTACGCTACAAAACCTATGAGGTCGCAACCTCACACACCTTCACACTCAAAATTTGTAGGAGTTGAAATGTCAGCTGTCGCAAGGCAACCTAAGATGTTGTATTAAAATTTATTTCTCGGCAACCTACTCTCAGATCAACCAGCTTTTTTCACTACCTGGTAGAAGAACACTTATCTTCAATACCTATGAAGTGCAAAGTTGCATATTCACATTTTCGCAATTTTACGTTTAGAGTTCTGGTTCTCGGCGTTACTTCTTGGATCGACCTACTTTCTTCATAGGAAATCCGCAAACTTAAATTTCACTTCCAAACACAACATTCAATAAACACCTTTATTCGAAATATTTATGCCGCTCTATTCATCGTATTCGTGGCCGTAAAGAGGGCCGTTGGGCTTGAAATAATCAGAAGTCATCAAGAAGCTTTGTTCTCCAAAATCGTAGGAAGTGCTGAGGCGTAGATGCGTCCATGGCGTGTGATGAACTTCGTTTACTCTAGTAGGTAACGGCGAGTTCCCAAAAGTAAATTGCATGAGATCGTGCTTTCATTAACCTCTTATGCATTCCTTCTTACCCATTGACGACGATGTGGACCACCGGTGGTCTACGCGCATTTTGCTGCCAGGGACGATGTGGACCCCCGATGGCCCACACCTCTTGCAAAGTTGTACTATTTGCAGGTCTAGTATTTTTTCGACATGTCAATATTTTTTAAAATTTCTTGTATTCTTGTGACCTGTAGGCTCCGTCGTTCAAGAAGATGTTGATAGTTGTTTACAAAGCAACGTTGCATTTTGTAAGTAAGCACAAAACCTTCACACACTGAAAGTATTGTGCAAAATCGCGTCGTCCCACAGCGCCGCCACGCAAAATTAGGCGTCGTCGTCAATGGGTTAATTTTCTTTTTCAGTTGGTGGAAAAAAATTTTCAAGGCGCAAAAGTGAAGCAGATCACCATGTACCAGTTAAAAAGAAAGTGAAGCTAGGGAAGGGAGGCGCGTTGGCTTCCACTATCGCATGTCTGCTCTTACATTAATCACACGGTGAATGATACCTGAGAGGCCATCGTTCACAGCTCATGTCAGTGGGAAATGGTCAGTACTCAACCCAGCCATTCTAAACAAGTTGTATATCGTCGGACTCGCCTTGAAACGCTGATTTCAAATATATGTTTACCAGTGCGTCACCTCTGCTTCGCAGAGGCTCGCACTGGCTCTACTATCTAGGCCCTACTCATTCTCGCATAACGATGGCATTGGAACTCACCGAGCAATGCCGATTATCACGAACAAAATGTAAACAACTACTCATTTCGAAAGCTTTTTTATGTGAAATCGGTGATTTTGTGTAGATGAGACTTTTTGCAGGAGAACAAACGCAAATTTCTAAAGGTTTTTGACTTTTCCATGGTCTTGACAGTTGCAGTAAGAATAGCAGTCACCGTGAGCTACATCTTTGTGCAAAAATCTTGTCAAATGCTCTGATTAAACCTTGGCAAATTGACCATTTGCGCAACCAATACTTTTTGGCGCCGTCTTTTTAAAGTAATGGACTTTTGAGAACTTTTTTTGGGTCTACGTTCATGATCTGCACTTTTACTTGGCATAAACATCCACTACTTTGCAAAAAGTGGAATTACGGACCCAATTTTGCGGCCCAAATGCAAAGTGGATCCGTTTGACTCGCAGTTTCCGAGGGATCCACTCAACGAAGCTGCTCGTGCTTTTGCGTGTTGGACTTTCATGCGGGTAGCATGCGCTGTGCAAAATTTGAGCCCAGGAGGTAGGCTGGAACATGCTCTACGAATTTCGTAACAGACACACTCACACACACACACACACACACACACACACACACACACACACACACACACACACACACACACACACACACACACACACACACACACACACACACACACACACACACACACACACACACACACACACACACACACACACACACACACACACACACACACACACACACACACACACACACACACACACACACACACACACACACACACACACACACACACACACACACACACACACACACACACACACACACACACACACACACACACACACACACACACACACACACACACACACACACACACACACACACACACACACACACACACACACACACACACACACACACACACACACACACACACACACACACACACACACACACACACACACACACACACACACACACACACACACACACACACACACACACACACACACACACACACACACACACACACACACACACACACACACACACACACACACACACACACACACACACACACACACACACACACACACACACACACACACACACACACACACACACACACACACACACACACACACACACACACACACACACACACACACACACACACACACACACACACACACACACACACACACACACACACACACACACACACACACACACACACACACACACACACACACACACACACACACACACACACACACACACACACACACACACACACACACACACACACACACACACACACACACACACACACACACACACACACACACACACACACACACACACACACACACACACACACACACACACACACACACACACACACACACACACACACACACACACACACACACACACACACACACACACACACACAAGTCACGTAAACATCCTTAGCTCGTTATTATAAGTAATGATTATCTGCCGAGCTTCTATCTGGACGGAGTTATGAGCGTTCAGGGAAATTATTTGAGTTTCAACGAATATACAGGGTGTCCCAAAAGTATGTATACACTGTTTAATCGTTAATATCTCTCTTCCCAAGAATCTTCAGTACCATTTTGTAGAGCTGGCTTCAACTTGGATTTACAGTATGGAGCAAATCGCCGATGGCTTTTCATTACTGTAGGATTATTACGGTACGAAATTGTAGCTTACAGTGTCATTGTGGCTAAATATTTCAAAAAAATTGTGAAAATCTGAAACGTGGTGTACCAGAGTTTTTAGGCATGCTGATTTCATTACTCGACTTTTTACGAGTTCTTAAAGCTTTTCAAATGCTGTAAGCACTATTTTAAGGAGAAGTGTAAAAACAGCTATTGCGGTTTACAAGGGGAAATTTATGAAGAAAGCGTTGTAATAAAGCTTAAACTTCATATTTCTTTTAGCGGCGCGAATCAGCCTAGTATAAGAGTTTTAGGTTGTTTGGTTTGCTTTTTGAGGTAGAACAGAGTCATTGATGGTCCAAAACCTTTGAAGTTCCTAAGCAATCATACAATAACGAAGAGAGAGAGAGAGAGAGGTGATTCGCTCAATAGCGCAAATGTAAAGACAGCTCTATAATGTGGTATGTACCTGAAGGTAGCCGAAAGACCTCTGGAAAAGGGAGATATTAGCGACCAAACAGTGTATACCTACTTTTGGGACACGCTGAGTTCGTTGAAAGTCAGCCTGGTGGCATGGATTTACGGTGGCTGTGGTTTAATTAAAAGAAAAAAGCTATTCACCGAAATCTACATACGTGTTTTTGAAACGTATTTCGTGAAATATGCTTCACACAACATTGACAAGTCGCACATTCAAACGCTCACAATTCCCTCCAGACAGTCGCTTGACAGATGATAAACATCTATTTAAAATCAGCGTTTCTAGGCGAGTTCGATGATGTGCTTGTTTGGTATGGCTGGGTTAACGGCAGTGGCTCGGCAAATCTCAACCTAGTGAAATTTTCGCTTACCTGGGGTTTTTCAATACGCTGATCCCCAAAAATGCATTTTTGAGTGCTCGAAAACGGCGAAAACGAGCGTTTTTTAATGCCCTTGCCTTGGACGAGTGGAGCAGGGCTGATGACGCTGAATCTTTGCAGCCCAATGGTTATAGCATTGCGGCGGGCAGCCTCCAATGGCGAGGAGGAAACTGCAAACTCGTCCGGGAGCGTGTAAGATTTGCCTGCGCGTGTAAGTTTGAGAGCAAATTTCTCGGCAGGGAAGGCATGCTGGCAACCGGGATTGCACTGTTTTCATACTTGGACGATAAGGAACCTACCGCGATAAAATCCTGAGTTGTCGAGTTTTGCCGACCCACTGCCTTTAGGTTTTGACCATTTCCTGCTCAGCATCCTAAAGTGTGCAGTTGCACACGTTAACAATAATATAGTCTACATTCTGTATCAATGTGCCTTTCTCACTCCTCCATGGTCTCACGTTTCTTTTTCTGCAAAATGCGTTTGTTGTTATCGCGAACGCCCTGCAAGCTGCGGAAATAGATCGTCCAAAGGTCGCTGGCACGTGAACTGCGCATGTACGACAACACTCCCCTTTTCGTTCTTTTCACGGGCGTCCTATTTCCCAGCCGATTCGGATGCTTTACTTTTTCGCCGAAATGAAGCAGCAAATCTCGATCGGGCAGAATCAAACGCTAGGTCTTATCACTAATTTTATTTTCATGATATTTTGGACATGTTCCTTCGTGATTTGTGCTTGACTTCAATGAAGAGCAAAGTATAATATTCAAAAAAGTAACAGTAAATTAGATGTAAAAACTATTCCCGTGATAAAGTTTGCAAGAAGTTTTTTTTGAATTTTCTTCGCTCATAAAAATTGCACGATTGTTCTAAAAAGATTGATAGCCTTCACCCCAAAAACACCAGTAACGCTCTAGATACAGAAAACCTGCAGATTCCTACATTTTTCAGTAGTTCCATGCATCGCCAAACAGCTGATATCGCATCACGAATGACTGATAGTAGTCTGATGTAAACATCTTTCAATGAAACTGAACTTTGTTCTGATAGTGCAGGTGATACTGTTGCACTGGAGGGTAAACACAAGATAATCGGTAGAGTATTTCAGCTCATGTTCGAGTGTTAGAGAAGTTGTAAATGTTCAGACATCCTATAATGTTCCTTTTCTTACTTATCATAAAGTTTGCTTGAAAAGGGACTTTCTTGAGATCACCTTCTTCTTGCTGCTTTGGAATTACAATCATCTTGTTTCTATAGACTAGTATCTAGACCTGACGGTTAATGCAGTGTATTTGCTGTGCCGAGACGGGCGACAAAATTTGCGCGTGAATAATAGCCATGCCGGTAATGCCGGTAACCTGCGCGTGCACAACACCGCCATTTCAGAGGTATGTAGTTGATTGTTCACGTGCAAATTTTGTCGCCCACTAGACACCGCAAGACTTTGTATATACCATCAGATCAGATCCGCTAGCCCATACAGACATAACCTATGACTTCACCGCAGAAAGTAGCCGGAAAGCATGATTGAAAATTATTTCCATTCTGAGGTTGTAGATCAGCTGCCCAGCATATCCATAACCGCATCAAATCTAACTGCACTCGCTCGCATGAAGAGATGTGAGCCATCAACACCTTAGCACAAAGAATAGACCATAAGGAAGTGAAGACCTAAGCACAAAGATTGCGTAAACAAGAAGACCCAGAAATCTGTCTTCGTATCTTTTTGATGTAGGCGGCCGGGTATGGGGCGGGGAATAGCCCGCATACATCTACAGATATTCAGTTTAACGCTAGTGGTCGCAACTGCGGCAGTGTTAACGACGCGGTAGCTGGTGCCTACGAGTCCGTCAAATACTATAAATGCTTCCACAGGCATCTCTGTCCCTCTTCATTGTAGCAGTTTCTCTCATGTTTCTCTATTCTTGTTTAGTCGTTAGTATCGAATGATCAGTCTATCCTTTTCGCTTGCGATAGCAGTATAGCTAGAAAATGTGCGTTTAGTATGGGTGGCGGACGTCTGGAAATCTGCGTCGACTCGTTTGAATCTGCCGAGAACGCAATCCGCGGAGGTAAGCACATTCATTCAAAATTTTTTCCGTTGTTCTTTTTCCTCCTCGTCTAGCCTTTTACGCTTTTTGCATAAGATATTCAGGTGTATGATTGCATAGTCAGAACATGAGCTTACTCTACTTAATATCATTTGGTTTACAGGCGCAGATCAGCTTGAAGTATGCAGTGCTCTTTCTTTGGGTGGTTTAACACCTTCTATAGGTAAGTCCAACTGCTCAAAATGTCTTCATTTTTCCAAAAAATTCATTGAAATAGGTTTAATTATTTGCACGTGCTGATTTCTAACTATGTATAGGTCTGGTTCGTCGCATCCGAGCTGCTTACCCGAAAATGCCTCTGTTAGTGATGCTTCGTCCTCGCGGAGGTGATTTTGTTTATACCGACGACGAAATACTTGTGATGGAAGAAGATCTTCGCTGCATGAGATTAGCTGGAGCTACCGGATACGTTTTTGGAGTTCTTGAGAGGTCAGAATTGGAGGTGTTAGAGCCTGTTTTAATTGAAATCATTCCAGTCGCTTCTTTTGTCATTAAAGATAGAAACTTTTTCAGCGATGGTACACTAGACATGGCACGTTGTGAACGTCTCATACATCTTGCTCAACCCGCCCCCTGCACGCTTCACAGAGCATTCGATCTGACCAAAGACTGGAGAGAAACCATTGAACAAGCTATCAAAGCTGGCTTCAAGACCATTCTTACTAGGTTAGGAGTTTGTTTCAGTCTTTGATACATTAGCTCAAATTATTCTCGTGGTAGTGGTCATGCTCCTTTGGCTATCGATGGAACGACTCGTCTCAAGAAAATCCATCAAGAAGCCGACGACAGAATCAACATTCTTGTCGGTGAGTTGTGTGTGCCTGGTTTTGCCTTAGGTCAAGCAGAAATTTATGTATGAGACTGATTCTAGCATCTATTAGTACATGCTGGGAGATTATGCTTATAAATACGTTATCGGAATGAGTGGGTGCAAGGATTTGTGAGGTTTTGGAGATACAGCGTGCTAATGCCAAAAGCGACCGACAGAGAGGAGATTGTGTACTGTTTACGCTGACTCAGATCTGATCATAAAATTTCTGTTGTACACATGTTGCGATCTCCAGTAGGGAATAAAAAGTGATATTCCTATCTTAATTGTTAAATGAATTCGTTCAGGCTCTGGGGTAAATTCGCAGTCGCTGCCTACTTTATTAGCTGAGACTAATTGCTCATGGTTCCATGGATCTGCCTCTGTCCCTGTGAAAGCAAAGGTAGTGATGATACCATAAACCTGTCTTCTTTAATTCGCTTGTTTTCGATATGATGGGCATAGCTTTTTTTACTGCTTTCCAAAGATACTGTACAAATACTCTCTGCAATTTTTTGCTTCTCTTATCAGGCCAAGCGGAACGGCTTCACGTTGGGTTCACATGACCACGACGTGCAGCGAGTCACTAGTGAAGAAGAAGTCGGCCTCTTGCGAGATCAGCTGGACAAGTACTTCGGCACTCGGCCAATACGAACTCCGTACTATTAATAACTTCACCAAAAGGTCAACAAATTCATATACTAACTGGTTACTTGTAGCACATTGCTACTATCGTGATATTGTAGTCCTATGTACTGAGCATTTCGGGTTCGGCGATTTATTTGTGTATTTCAGAAATTCTATTTATTTTTGAGACTTGGGTATTTGTTATAAACTGGTTGCGTCATTTGGAGAAGTTTCTCGTTTTTATCTCGCCAGATAGGGATCGACAAGAAAATGATAGAGCATCCGAAGATGGACCGTATCTACAAATCGCAAGTAACTTGAAGTTCTGTCCCTTCGCCCACGCCACTATATCTTGAGAAATTTTGAAAGTTTTTGGTTATACTTCCAAAGGTCAAAAACTCCCATCACGGATATCTAAGTGTAAGGTGTGAAGCACAGAAGAGCGTATAAGAATCGAAAGAAGCGTCTATGGCAGGTTTAAAGGCACCGTCCACCAAAAGGGTCGATAGAATTTCGATAATAGTAGCGGGGCCTTCAACTGTGTACAGGCGCTGTAAAACCTAGTTACCCGCGCCGTGCCTTGAACACTAGCGTAAGCGAGCGGTCGTTGCGAACGACTGTCGGCGTTCACTACTGCGTTCACTACTCTAATTACCCAACTCGCGCTCAAAAATTGCTTCCGAAGAGAAAATTGCTTTCAAAATCGCTAGAGATGACGGATTCGCCGCGTTGGCTCCCACCCTTTCAATGATCGCTCATTCCGCCCTTCCATGCGCTCGCAACCAATCACCGTTGCGAAGAACTCGCGTTGCGGTTTCTCGGAACGGGGATTGTCAGAGCTTTCGCGAATTCTCGACTTCACTCGGTATCAGGGACATAAGGAGGCCCCGGAATCACAAAAACATGGGAGTCGAGAACTTGTGTGGACGGTGCCTTTGACCAAAAAGCTGCACACTCGCGAAGGCGTGCGAGAGATCTAGAGAGTCGCAAAAAGTAGAGCAAATGCCAAAATAGGGCTCGGCACGAGGTGGCCTTTCGAAAAAGCCATAAACGAAGTCCCGTTGACTTTCCAGTATACGAAGTCCCCTTTGGACCCTAAACCAAAATGTAAAAAACCCTAAAAAACGAAAAGTCGACTGAAAAGACTTAACCTATTTTTTCCGGATACATAAACGATATTGCCATTGCTTTTTGTCCTACAGGGCTCCTAAATTGCAGAGTCGTTTGCACCAGCGGTCGCGCGACCGCGTCGCGCCCGGGCATCAATGGCCCCGCCTCGATCGATGGCGCCGGCGCCGGCAAAATGCCCGGGCGCGACATGGTCGCGCGACCGCTGGTGCAAACGACTCTGCAATTTAGGAGCCCTGTACAAACAATATCGGGCTTGCTTGTAAGCCTTCTGTGGCGAGCCCCGACCACAAAATGATGAGGATCACTTTCTAAGGAAGGGGCGAGCACGGAAAAATTCTGAGAAGCCAAAAGCAATAAACGAACGATGCGAACGCATTTTAGAGCGATGGAGTTCATGACTACCTACCTAAGGAAGAAATATCTACCTTAGCAACTGACTTGACAAGTACATACGGTAACGAATACAGAGGAGGGAGTCCACATTGTTATGTCAAAGACTAACACCGACAAGGAAAAGCCCAGATTACAACTTCAGCTTCTGAAAGAAGTGCGAGTAAGCCGGAGTGGCTAATAATTGATCAGAGAATATTTAAGACGAAGAAGACGTCGAAAGATGGTGCAAAGGCGTATATATCGATATGGAAGAACGAAGGGGAGTATTGGATCTCTCTGGGTAATATCGTCCTATGCTCCTCATGACCACATGCTGAAAATTTGGAAAAATACTAGAGACGAGGCTTCGTAACATCATAAAACTGTCCCTTAGCCTATACGAATTTGTGAAGTTGAGTTGGAGGCATAGTTGCGATAGGGGGAGTGATGGATCTTACCCCCTTCACTTTGAGGCCAAACTCCCGATGACCCCCTTCACCTGGGCTGAGATTGGTATCGTACTCTGAGAATATGATAAAAATCGTTATGAAAAGCAGGCTAGGTACCTCAAACAACAAGTACACTCATAAATTTACTAAAGAAACGGTATTTATGTTTATTTATATTATTTATTTATCCTCGTAGCATTTTGGAGAGAAGAGAGTAAGTACACAAAATCAGTTAATTTTTGAAGCACATAAAATCTCTCATATCTCGCGGCACAGAAGACCTAGAAAAAAGTCGACGGTCTACGTCGATTCTCCATGATCTCAGCTTTCGAATGGTATACAGCATGTTAGGGCTTCTTTGCTTCCCGGCTCTAAAAATCATTTTCTCCGGTAACCGATAAAAGCCAATACATTGGTGGAGCCGGATTGGAGCAAGCTAATAGTAAATATCTCCACCCCATTTTTGAAAACTGGTCCGTTTTTTCGCCCAGCAACCTATATACCATTCGAAAGCTCAGGAAAAGGGGATTCGACCTAGACCGTCGACTTCTTTCTGGCCCCCCTCTACCGAGAGATACACCGCATTTTATCTGAAAACATGGTCATTTTCAACAGCAGATTTCTGCCAAATGAAGACCTAATCACTGCTGCTTATCTATCTGTGTTAAAGAGCAAGTCTTCATTAACAAACGTAGACCGTCGACTTTCTCGTAGCATTCATTTGGAGAGCAGAAAGTGAGGACACAAAATCAGTTAATTTTTGAAGCACATAAAATCCCTCATATCTCGCGGCACAGAAGACCTAGAAAAAAGTCGACGGTCTGCGTCGATTCTCCATGATCTCAGCTTTCGAATGGTATACAGCATGTTAGGGCTTCTTTGCTTCCCGGCTCTAAAAATCATTTTCTCCGGTAACCGATAAAAGCCAATACATTGGTGGAGCCGGATTGGAGCAAGCTAATAGTAAATATCTCCACCCCATTTTTGAAAACTGGTCCGTTTTTTCGCCCAGCAACCTATATACCATTCGAAAGCTCAGGAAAAGGGGATTCGACCTAGACCGTCGACTTCTTTCTGGCCCCCCTCTACCGAGAGATACACCGCATTTTATCTGAAAACATGGTCATTTTCAACAGCAGATTTCTGCCAAATGAAGACCTAATCACTGCTGCTTATCTATCTGTGTTAAAGAGCAAGTCTTCATTAACAAACGCAGACCGTCGACTTTCTCGTAGCATTCATTTGGAGAGCAGAAAGTGAGGACACAAAATCAGTTAATTTTTGAAGCACATAAAATCTCTCATATCTCGCGGCACAGAAGACCTAGAAAAAAGTCGACGGTCTACGTCGATTCTCCATGATCTCAGCTTTCGAATGGTATACAGCATGTTAGGGCTTCTTTGCTTCCCGGCTCTAAAAATCATTTTCTCCAGTAACCCATAAAAGCCAACACATTGTATAGGTCGTCCCGAAAGTTTTTGAGCACAATTTTCAAAAATTCATAACTTCTGATTTTTCCAACCGATTTGACTGCTTTCACTTTTATGTGAAAGGGTAAGTCATGCTCTTTGTAATGACATCCCATCTGCTTAGTAATGATCATCTCTTGCATAAATAGAAGCTCAAACAAAATCACTCGGAATTTGAATTTTTGTGTAGGGTCATAAAAAATCAGAAACTTGCAACAAAATCGGAGCAGTCGGTATTTTAGGTTCTTTCACCAACTCTTTCTAACAGTGCAAAGTTTGCTCCGATTGAGCGTCTCCATGAAAAGTTATAATTTCCGAGCAAGCAGTACAAAAAGGCGAATTTGATTTATTTTGGCATTCTTCAGGGAAACCATAACTTTTCATGGAGACGCTCAATCGGCGCAAACTTTGCACTGTTAGAAAGAGCTGGTGAAAGAACCTACAGTACTGACTGCTCCGATTTTTGTTGCAAGTCTCCGATTTTTTATAACCCTACACAGAAATTTAAAATTTTTACCATTTTTCTTCTATCGCTCCTATCTATGCAACAGATGACCATTACTAAGCAGCTGAGATGTCATTATAAAGAGCATGGCTTACACTTTCACATAAAATTGGAAGCAGTCAAATCGGTCGGAAAAATCAGAAGTTATGAATTTTGAAATTCATGTGCAAAAACTTTCTGGACGACCTAATAAGAGCGAGGTGGAGCAAGTTAATAGTAAAAAATGTGCTGTGGATTGAAATCGTTATCAGCACTAACGGGAACGTGAGCGAACGCGTCTATTTGAGCGTGCTTATCGTTGTTATATGTTTACGTTTTTTTGGTAAAAAATGCGCTTTTGATTGACAGTTATGCCATCATTGTTAGCACACACTCAAAAAACTATGGGAGATTGGTGAATTTCCACACCTTCACACAAAACCCGCCCATTTCTGGAATCTATACTCTGTAAACCTAGTGCTGAAGAAGGTCACTTTCGTGAAAACGCTCTAGACTCACCTTACCTAATTTTTAGAGAATGGTTGGTTTCAATGAATTAAAAACTCTAAGACATTCAGAAGAATAACATGTTATTAAAATATTCCTCAATGTTTTGGAAAGGTTGGCAGTTTGAAAAATGGCAGGCAGAATACTTTACAAAATCGCAGATGACTCGCATGTGTTCCAGTTCAACAGCGAGGCAGAAGGAGAATCTTACGCCGACGAAAATGTTGTCGACATTGATACAGAGTTGGCAATTGAGTGAAACTCTCTGATTTCCTGCATAAGGATTTAAGCAGATTGTCTAGTTTCAATGAGGAAATGTCCAGGAAGTCCATTGCTGATCTTCAGGTTGCTGAAGAATTCAAGGCTGCTAAATTCACAAACATGGATATGAACAAAAGGAAGGTGTTAGTATAAAGCATAGTTACTGCGCTTAGATCCCGGCTGGAGTGCGAACCCAACTCTGTGCTTTATGCTTTTGAAAGTTATTCGCCTTGTGACAATATGACCTATGATATTGAAAAAAAAAAAACCAACGCGCAGCATAGTACCTCCTTTTTTCGGCTATTCCGCAGATGCTGTTAAAGAAGAAGTTGAGCAGCTTTCTGATCAGCTAACAGGACGTATGCCAGAGGAGGTGAAGCCAGAGTTCGACAAGGCCCAAAAAGTACACTATTTCCTTCCCGTGTTGCGAAAGCATATGAGATTTGGCTCTTTTCCCATTACTTACCGCAAAAATCTGATGGGCCTACTAGCAAAGCTAGTTTCCATTCCGACTAGCACGGCAGAGGTAGAGAAAGAAATTTTCTATCTACTCTGTTATCAGAACAC